AATAGTGCACCTGGACCGATGATTCGCAGAGCACAGCGTTGGGTATGATCCAGGCATTGCAGGTAGCTGGGCGGAGCACCTATCCAGATGAGGGGGGCATACTCCATAACTGGTCGAACAAATGCCTTGTATACTGTGGTGCGGCCGGCTGGAGAGAGAATGTGCGCCGCACGGCGCAGGAAGCCCAGGCGTTGTTTGGCTCGAGTGGCAACCTTCCGGAGATGAGTGCTGAATGACAGCTTCGAGTCAAAGGTCACTCCACGTAAAGAGAGAGCCTTCTCCTCAAGGACAGGAGTGCCGCCGAAGACAATGCGAGGCAAATTGATGGGGGTTCTGCGGAGAGTGGCGGTCATGGCTTGGGACTTCGACGGTTCGAAGGAGATGCGCCATCTGCGGCCCCACTGATGCAAGCGATCAACAGAAGTCTGGAGGCTCAATGCTGCGTCGGCTGGGGAGGTGTCGAGGGATATCAGGCTGTACAAGGTAGTATCGTCGGCGTATGCCTCTAGGTGGGCTCCGGGTGACAGGGTCTCTGAGGCGTCGTTCACGTAAATCAGGAAGAGTGTAGGGCCGAGTATGCTCCCTTGGGGAACTCCTGCTGATATGGTATACAGCGATGAGGTTTGGCCGCCCACCAAGCATTGAATGGACCGTCCACCTAGGTAGGAAGAGAGCCAGGTATGCAGGGGGCCGCCAATGCCAAGATGGCGGACTTTGTGGAGGAGGCCAGCATGGGACACACGGTCGAATGCTCCGGCAATATCCACGGCTAGAATACGTGCTGCACCGCCTCGGCCGACGGCTGTGATCCAGGCGTGGTGTAGAGCCTGTAGCGCATCTGAGGTCCCGAGGCGGCGACGAAAACCGAACTGGTGGGGTGTCAGGAGTTTGTAACGCTCAAGGTGATTCATGAGCTGACGATTGATAACGCTCTCCATGATCTTAGAGATTATGCTCAGCAGTGAAACTGGACGATAATTCCTTAGGGCGGATCGTGAAGATCGCTTGTGGATTGGAACCACGCTGGCAGTCTTCCACATTTGTGGCTGGACTCCGTGCTGGAAGCAAAGAGCAAAGAGCTGACACAGTGGCTTGGCAAGTTCTCTGGCGCATTCCTTCAAGACACGAGCGGAAATACCGTCGGGTCCAGTCGCCTTTGAGGCATCCAGGCGAGCTAAAAGCCGGTGGACTGCATCCGGGCGAAAGTGGACTGTCGTTAGTGCAGGTGCATCAGCGAATGCCGTGTCCGGTAAGTCCATCGTGGTAAGGTCGCGGCCTTGCACACTGCACTTGCGGGAAAAGAAACGTGCGAAAGCCTCCGATTTCTCATAGCTTGTGGCCCTCTCGCAACCTTCACTATCAACCAGCAGGGGAATGTCAGTGTTCCGACCCTCGCCACAAGCGCACTTTAGCTTCGTCCACCATTCCTTCTCCTTCAGGGACCCATTCGACAAGCTATGTCTGAGGCTGTTCTCTTTGGAAACTCTAGATCTAGCAAGGACTGCGATAGCATTGTTTACAGAACGGGTAAACTCATGTTTCAGTGCAAAATCGTGAGGGTGCTTCCTCCAAGTGCGCCAGCGTTTGTCCTTCTCCTTCATGGCGGCTGCACACTCAGGTGTCCACCATTTCGGATCTGTTGACTTCACTGTCAGTGTCTTGGACGGAACGAACTGGGAAACGGCGTTCATGATTGTGGCAGTAACGTGCTCACACGAAGTTTCTGGGTTGGCAGTAATGACGGTTGACCAATCAACCTGGCGGAAAAAGGATCGGAGGCGGTTCCAGTCTGCCTTTTCATAGCGCCAGACAGTTCGTTGCACCGCCGCTTCATGGGTAGGAAGAACACCTGTGAAGTCCGAAAGAATTACAGCGTGGTCAGATCGACCAATAGGGGACATTATCTGCGTGGTCACTGGAGAGTTGAACGTGGACATCACCAGGTCGAGTGTGTTATCCCCGCGAGTAGGACTCTGAACGTGCTGCGTGAGAAAGTGGGCTGTGCATGTGTCTTCGAGGGCTTCCCCCGCAGGTGTGGTCTTCGAGCTATGGAGCCAATTGCGGTTATGCACGTTAAAATCACCGGCGAGTATGAGGTTGGCACCAAGTGCACGAGCAGAGGGAAGGATGTCATCGAGATGGTTAATGAGCGTAAGGTCACTGGGCCCCGTCGAACCTGGCCTGTAAGCAGCGCCCAAGACTATCTTTTGTCCAGGGGACAATTGAATGGATAGCCAAATGAGTTCGTGATGTGGAGAAAATAACTCATCAATTACCTTGGCTGGGAGTGTAGATCTGATCCATACGGCCACATTATTGAATGTTGTTGTGAACCCTCTGGTTCTCTAAAGTGTCAGGAACGAACTACCCCACACAGCACGAGGACACCTATTTATTCTCAACAGTATATTTCACTTCCATCGACTAACTAAACAATGAATGAATGAATGAATAACACTAAAACCACCAGGTAGTTATAGCGTGAAAATGACAGCGTATATGAGAAAAGCATACACATACCACATACAACTACAGCGCACACAGCAAAACCGCACATAGCGCATGTAGCGTATACCACGTCGTAAACATCAGCGGTACGGCGGCGTCGGGATACAACTGCATTGGAACGAACACAATGTCACAAGCGAGAAAGCCTTTCACTCTCGAGAACTTGTGGTTTCGAAACATTCTCCCCACCAAAGGGCTTCTCACCGCCGTACAACAACTCACAAGTCAAACGATTTGGGGCTTACTTCGCGTCATCTGCTGCTGCGGTGGTGGCCATGGTAGAATATCACAAATGCTCACCAGTTCGGCCAACTCGATTTCGCGAAGCTTGCCGCTGTGGGCTGTCACACACGACATGGTTACCGGTCCACTTCGACATGGGGCGGATGCTGCACCAGACAGCACACAACCGATGATTTCACCAAGCTTGCAGATCTGGGCTGTCACACACGACTCGTTCACTGGACCACTGTCTCGTTGGGCGGAAGCTGGACCAGATAACATATATCTGATCTCCGTGTTCCACATAGTCTCGCTGCTCACTTCTTTCGTGCTAACCAGTATCGCCCTTCTCATGTCCTTAGCTTCTACGTCTTGCGCCTCTACGTCTTGCACCTCTACGGTTTGCGCCTCTACGTCTTGCGCTTCTACGTCTTGCGCCTCTACGTCGTTCGGCCAAGACTCCAGCTGCTTCTGAGCGTCTCCGACCGATGTCGCCATGCACTGCACCGACCCAGTGGGCCTTGGATCTGATCCTCCCACTGGCTTCGAATACTCCTCTGACCACTGCTTGTCTGTAAGCAAAGTCTTCCACGCCTTGTCCGGCGTCCTTTCGCGTGAGGCAAGCAAATCTCGCTTGGCTCCCTCATACTCACTGCTGGCGATGCGCTCGTTCATCTTCTTGAGCTTTTCGTTAAACTCTGTGCGAAGCGCACCCTCTTGCCATCTAGCACTGCGCTCTTCAAACTCCTCGCTCTGTCGGAGCCTCTTCTCCACGTATTCTCTCAACCTATCCCCTTTAAATCCATACCGAATTCCGCTAGCGATAAAGTTGGCTTCAATGATCCATAGTTCCTGTGCCATGCTCGCTTCGTATCCTGGCGTGGTCGCCAAATGTTGTGAACCCTCTGGTTCTCTGAAGTGTCAGGAACGAACGACCCCACACGGCACAATGACAACTATTTATTCTCAACAGTATATTTCACTTTCATCGACTAACTAAACAATGAATGAATAATGAAACTAACACTAAAACCACCAGGTAGTTATAGCGTGAAAATGACAGCGTATATGAGAAAAGCATACACATACCACATACAACAACAGCACACACAGCAAACCGCACATGGCGCATGTAGCGTATACTACGTCGTAAACATCAGCAGTACGGCGGCGTCGGGATACAAATGCATTGGAACGAACACAATGTCACAAGCGAGAAGGCCTTTCATTTTCGAGAACTTGTGGTTTCACAACAAATATATATTAATCATTGATTCAGCATGGTTACTCTTCAGTCACGGCTTTCCACTGATGATTGTGACAAGAAAATCGATTTTGGTAAACCTTCATGACTTTATTGTAATGTGACGAGGACAGCAGAATTTGTTCTCTTTATTGCTATTATGAAAATGATTATTATGATGAAGTAAGGAAAAGAACAAAATGTTACGAGTGTTCCCAAATGCCAAAGACTTGCACGTCCACAACAAGCGACAGAGGATAGTTAACAGTCCAATCATTCAGTAAATAAAAGGAACGAACATTAAACTGAAGAACAGAAGAATCAAAAGAACACTTCTTCCTCCCAGGTTCTCCTAGCGCAACCGCCCTAACTAACCATGTACGAGTTGCCCTAAAATACCTCTGCTGTAGCCTAGGACATAATGGCGTACACGACGCGCCCAAACTGGCGCTGCATGTGAGACGCGCCAAAACTGGCGCTGTACGTGACAGCACAGCCTTGCGCGGTACAACCTCCCGTAAAACAACATGCATGCAACACATGTAATGAATACAAGGTGTGTAATGACCTATGCCGCGCACATGCACCAGTACTCATTTACTAACACCATGCCCCCCAAGTCAGGCATGTCACTTCAGAAACAGCACAGCAAACAAACAAACAAAGAACCAAACATGAATCGTCAACGGTAACAAGCAGGTGCTAGCAGTCGGGATCGGTCACGCAAGACCCGACCAGGTGCACCTGCAGGAGCGGGTACAGGAGCAGGTACAGGAGCTGCTGCAGGTGCAGCCGCAGGCAGGTCAGCGACTTCAAGCAAGTACTGCTCCTCATCTTGCTCTGGCTGATCATCATCTACCTCAGATGGGACATCAGGAAGCTCACCGTTGTCTCCTCCGTCTTGCTCTCCAGCAGGAGACGGATCACGTTAGACTAGCTTCACATTCACGATCTTTCCCGAAACACGTCCAGCATGTCGAATCAGGATCGTTGACGGACCGACGTGCGTCATCACCACCCAACCGACCTAGTACACTGCAAACCGCTTCTGACGACGTGCAGGACGTAGGAACAGCACCTTGTCCCCAAGCTGGTACTGCGGTGTTGGCTGATCAAGGAAGTCAGCTCCTGCATACGTCTCCTCCAACATACTGCGAATAGCTGCTGATCGCTGATCCAGCTCAGCCACGCATGAACCGATGTTGTAGCCGCTTGGTGGTTGATCAAGCACAAGACCACGAGGACTCCAACCTCTCATGGCCTTCATCAGCGACCCTCCAGTCGCACTGTGGGGGCGAACACGGTAGTAGTCGAGCACCCAATCATCTGACTCACCGAGCACCTTCCTGATGAGCGTCAGCAGAGTTTGGTTAAATCGCTCAACTGCACCTTGCGACTGTGGGTGTTGCACTGCTCCATGCGCGACCGTCACCCCAAACGTCTCGTAGACCGCTGAAACCAGAGCATTCCGCAACTCTGTGCCGTTGTCCGATCGGACTACTTGTGGAGTACCCCACAGACAGCATATGGACACGAATGCTGCGGCTACACTCTGTGCGTCGTGCCGCTCCAGTGGTTGAACTTCAACCCACTTTGTAAAGGTATCGACGCATCCCAAGACACAGTGATAGCGACCTCTGCGAGAGGGGCCCAGCTTCAATGTGTCAAGCTGAACCTTTTTGAAAACTGTGCGGATGCAAGTTTTTGAGCTCCGCCTTTCGGGTGCTTTCCAAGATCATCTTCAATCGTTTAGCATACCATGAGTGAGACCATGAGTGAGAATGAAGAAGTAGACCTTGCTACAATGTCATATGACAATATCCGTGACCTTGCAAGATCCAAGAAGGTGCTCCAAGAAGGTCAATCGAAGCTGAGCCGACAAGAACTTGTGGCGATCCTGCGGACTAATGGAATCGGGACCAACGCAAGCTCTGCCCCAGTAAGTTGTGCTAGCTGTATTTCACTGCATGACTCCCTAGCAAACTTTACAAAGGCCCTTGAAGGCATGATTATGAAGATGGCTGGTTTCATGGAGATGAAGTCCACCATCGAGCACATACAGCAGGAAATTGCAACGATGAAAAACGAAGGGCAGCAGGAGGGCGCGAAGACGCAAAGCACAGCTAACGTTAGGAACCGTCAGTACGCTACCGTAGTGCAGTCTGCTCCAGCCCCAGCCTGTGAACCCAAACCGTACTCCCACAAACATGTACAGCATCAGTCTATGCAAACTGCCACCGACACCCAGCAGACCAAGCAAACCGACAAACCCGCTCGTATGAGTACTGGCAGCACTGAAGATTCGAACTCGTCCTGGCAAACCCAAGGTCCACGACGCCCAAACCGCCCACGTGCATCAGGCGGGTCATCTTCACATCCCGGCACGAGTGCTACTGGCAGTACTGAACTACATGTACGTTCATCTGTCACATCGAAGTATGTGAAGGAGGTGACTGTAACAGCAGCCCCAGGTGTTCTAAGTGGAGTAGAACGCAAACGCCTTGCAGTGCTGCATGTAGGAAATGTTGAAGTTGGCTGTGAGGCGCAATCTATTGTCAGGTACTGTGCAGATCGTAACATTGACATCATCCGCTGTTCAATTGCCACAAATCGTTATTTCGGCACAGCATACGCAAAAGTTACCATTCCGGCTGATGTCATCAACACCGTACTCACGCCTGCGTTTTGGCCTGCCACCATCGGCCACACAGTCAGAAAGTGGCGCTTCCATGACGAGGCGTCCATGCCGACGAAGGAACAAAGTACTGAAGATTAACCATGGCTAGTAGTAGTAAAATGAACCCAGGCGCAACCCCGTTCTACCCTGGATGTATACGGACACTGTCTCTGAATATTTGCAGTCTACGTAATAAACTTACTGACTTGTCCCAATTGATATCGACACAAAAACTGACATTGCTGCTGTATGTGAAACGTGGCTTAACAACTCCGTTCCGTCGATGGAGATGTCAATCGCAAACTATACTTTATTTCGGCTTGACAGGCGCGACAAACCCGGAGGTGGTGTATGTTTGTATGTTAATAACTCACTGTTTAGTCACCTAGTCACTGTTTAGTCACCTACGCCGATGGCGTTGAATGCATTTGGGTAGAGATCAAAGCTCACCCACAACCTCTTCTTGTCGGGTGTATTTACCGCCCACCGAGTCAGTCACTAGCTTACTGGCAGACTTTCGAGGCCATGTTACACAAGGCATCGGGAGAAGCCAAGAATATTCTGCTTTGTGGTGACTTTAATGTTGATCTGGTCAGTCAATCTCCCACATCCCAGCATGCCTCCTTGCATGACATCACAACCAGCTTAGGCCTGCATCAACTTGTAAAATCTCCAACACGCATAACGCTGCAAGGGAGCTGCACTCTATTAGATCATGTCTATAGTACAGCTCAAATCATATCCCCGCCTGGTGTGTGTCCAGTTCCGTTCAGCGACCACTGTGCTATTGCAACCAAGATTTGTGTTAAACCCGTGCCGACAGCATTGCCTTCTCAGCGACTTTATCGAAACTTCAAGAGAATGGACTTGGCATCACTTCGTATGGATATTTCTTGCGCCAACCTCTGTGAACTTCGTGGGTCCTGCGATGACATGTGGCAACAGTGGCTGACTAAGGTTGTGCCCATTATTGATGCTCATGCTCCATTGCGCCACGCGTCTTCCCGACCAAGACAGCATTCACCATGGGTCAATGAACATTTGTTCCTGTTGATACGACGACGTAACCACGCTCATCGGAAATGGCTGCAATCTAAGTGCCAGACTGATTACGATGCGTTTAAAGAAGCCAGGCGTATCGTGACTCGTATGAACCGTGAATTGAAGACGAATTTTTTTCAGTCTAAGTTCACCAGTGTTCAAGGTAATCCCAGGAAAACGTGGAAGGTTTTGAACGAGTTATCCGGAAGACAACGTGTTCAATCCGTTCCACAATGCTCTGCAAGCAACATTGGGTGTGTATTTGCTGATGTTGTCAGTGATCAACAACGAGCACCTGAACTGTGTCTTCCACAGGGCCCAGTGGGACCTAAGGGTTTTACATCCTTCAGTTCGGTGTCAATAGGTTGTGTGCGTAAACTGTTGGGTTCCTTGGACACCAGCAAAGCGACAGGCAGTGATGGAATACCCGCATTTCTTCTGAAGTCCTGCGCTGATTTGCTAGCTCCCTCCTTAACATTGATATTTAATGCATCTCTTGCTGTTGGTTCTGTGCCGGACGGCATGAAGTTGGCACATGTCACGCCGGTATTCAAGGCTGGAAATCCTCAAGATCCGGGAATTTATCGCCCTGTGTCTCTCCTGCCAATTGTGTCGAAGCTGTTAGAACGAATTGTCCATAGACAACTATCCTCATTTCTGGACAAGGAGAATTTGTACCCTCCCTGTCAGTTTGGCTTTAGACGTCAACATTCAACGGAAGACGCTCTAGTTTTCGTCACGGACACGTTTGTTCGCGCTCGCGATGCCGGACAAATTACTGGTGCTGTGCTCGTGGATATGTCCAAAGCATTTGACAAGGTCAGGCACCAAGTGCTCATTAATGATTTGTTTGAGCTTGGCATATCTGGTTCAGCATTAGTTTGGTTTGCCGACTATTTGTCCAATCGTCGCCAAATAGTGCACATTGCTGAGAACTATAGCCCTCCTTTCCCCTGCATGTGTGGCGTTCCCCAGGGCTCTGTTCTTGGTCCGCTGCTTTTTGTACTCTATGTTCGTTCGATCCAGTCCATTGTCTCCGAGTTTTGTGTGAAAGTTATTCAATTTGCTGACGATATTCTATTGTATGTTTGCGGTACGCAGAAGAATGCGCTTAGCAACTCTCTGTCTGCAGCTGTCTCAGCCATTAGTACCTGGCTGTCAAACCGCAATTTAATTCTAAATGCTCGGAAGACACAAGTGCTCTTCCTGTCTACGCCACATATTACTGACCACCAATTTGCAGTCTACTGCCATGGAGTGCAGCTCAAGCAAGTGACATGTGCAAAGTACCTTGGAATACATTTGGACCAGGATCTTTCTTGGAGCACTCAAGTTGATTCTATGGTCTCCAAACTAGCCAGTAAAATTGGTATTCTGTTCCGAAATCGACACAATATTCCTCTGACTTGCCGAGAAACCTTCGTAAAGTGCCTAGTGTTGCCAGATTTTCTATATGCATCAAATTGTTTTTCTGCTGGTCTTTCCTTAACCCAGTTAGGTAGGCTTGAACGAATGCTAAAGCGAGCTTTGCGTTCAGTGTACGATACTGGTTTTTGTAGCCCATCAAGCCCTTTATTTGCGAGACTTGGTCTAGATCGTTTGGCAACCATGTATTGCAAGAAATTACTGTATCTGACGTGGCGCTGTTTGGAAGGCCGCTGTAGTGTCACATTAAGTCAAATATTCGAGCGTTTAAATAATGGTCTTGCAACGCGCAGCCTTGTATCACGCACTCTTAAGTTGCCCATGCTCAGAACTGCCTTTGCCCGTCATGGCGCTTCCTTCCAATGTGCTAAGCTGTGGAATGATTTGCACCCTCTAGCTCGCTGTGTGGATAACTCCGCCCGTTTTAAGAAACTGTTACCCCAATGCCTTGCTTTTTCACGCTAGTAATTATGACTTTCAGCTATGCAAAATGCGAACATGATCACCTATCCAATACCGGTAGTCTATTACATGTATATTAATTATTCATATCTTTTTGCATCTTTCCCTCGAGTGGGTCTATTGTTATTAGGCAATTGTCTGTTATAGTCACCACTATAAATAAAAATCCAATCCAATCCAAAAAAAACCCACCTCCCATGGACCACTTGGTGACACCGGGCGAGTTGGCGGCACACTCTCCGAAGACCGGCGGTTTGCCGCGCTGTTACTTGGTGTCCAGCGATGAGCACTTGCTGCGTCAATGACGGCGGAATCACGGGGACTGACACGACATCACTCGGTGGAACCTTGACACTTCGGTGCACGGCACCATTGATCACGCACAGTTGATCCTTGACTGAAGCTAGGCCGCTGCCACTAGGGAGGTCATTTCCAGACAGTAGGCACTGTTTGACCTCAGCTACTTCATCATCGGCTTACTGTGCACGGCAGATCTCCTCCTCCGACAGACAAGGCAGAACGGGAACGACACTTGCCGCCATCGCTGACAGCTCGTCTTGCGCACCACTTGCAAGCCAACTTGACGGGACACGAGTAAGCTCATCAGCTAAATTATCAGACGTTGCCACCGAGATGAGGTTGACCTGGAGACCAGTCGTAGCGACGATGTCCTCGATTATCTGGACTCTAGGCCGAACAAGCACTTCCTGCAGCCCACTAACCTTCAAGCGACGGACATTGCTCAACGATTGCTACAGCCAGCCGTACACTGTTTTCAAATCAGTGTGGATGGTAACTCGCTTCACAGGCCACTTCGTTGCCAGGTTGAGGCCCTTGATGACTGCGTCCAGCTCTGCAATGTTGATGTGACAAGCATCCTTCGCGGCATGGAGCCAAGACCGGTCCTCAATCACTTAGACGGTCACCTGGACAACTGCGCCGAGAGGCCTCGCACCACACATGCCACTACGTCGACTCGTCAAGCGTTACAGACCACACGCCTTGTACTGGATCAGCCGCTTGCAGCCGGGCAAGCAACTCTCTGCATAGGCGCACTATCAACTCAGGCAGCACGGCATCCCATGGGGCATCTGAGCCTAGTTGCCGCGCCAATTGCATGCAGGTCGCAACCAGCCGCAGACAGGATAGTGCCCAACCAGCTTACCGCACCAACTGACGATGTTGCGGCATGTCGGGTTGGTTGGCACAGACAGGTCGGAGTCTTGACGACGCTTCCACTGCAGAACGCCATTCTCGCTTGACAGTTGCAGACCCAGGACACAAGCCTGGGGCATATCCACGGCAGGTTTCGTGTCCAAACTGTAGCGACTCAGTTGCTCCGTCGTTGCCGGCAGGGCTGCTCTCTCGACATATAGGTCGTCGACGTAGTTATCGACGCCGCTCAGGTCTCGTGTCGCCCACTTGACCAAAATGTCCATTATCTTCGGCGCCACATTGAGCCGGAACCCCATTCTCGTCATGGCATAGAGCTTGCCGCGACACAACACAGCTTGGTAGCGGTACAGGTTCGGAGCGACGTGGATCTGCAAGTAAGCCTTGCGCAAGTCCAGCATGACCCCGTCAGGAGACCGCATCCGCCATTCTCTCATCGTCTTGTCGCATGATGATGTATCGTACCCCGGATGAAACAGCAGACGCTGGTTTAGCTGACGATAATCCAGGCACGGCCTCATTGGCGTAGTCTCCTTGTGCGGCTGAGAAACAGAGAGAAACGGTAGAACACACATAGCTTCTCCGAATGCCTCCGTGTCATAAGGCACAAGCCATTCCTTTTCAAGCCACGACTCGACTTCGGCGAGGAAGCACTCCACCTCCGTGCTGGACAGCTTGCTGCGTGGGTACTTGCCAATGCCACAGCCGAGGAGAGATGACGGCGGCGTACCATCTTTCCAGGTCCACTGAGCCTCCCAATAGCCGGCGCTACCGCTCCAGGTCACAGAAACATCGGTTATTTCGAGCGTCACGGTATCGTCATTCTCCTTCACAAACATGTGACGCGACAGCTTGCTAGAAGATGCCACACCTGCACCAATCACGTCCAGCCGAGTAACGAACACTACTGAAGACAGCCGTCCGCCTGGGGTCTCGTACGCGATGTTCACCCCTCCGGTCCTAGCTGCAACGTCTGCACCCAGCAGAATGTCGGTGTTCAGCGCAGCCAAGTCCTCCACCACCACTAGCATCGCGCATATATGCGGTAAGTAAACATGACCGTCCAGACGTCGCATCATCACATCGACGCAGCCCCTGGTGTTCAGCGTATGGCCCTGAATCGTCAGAAGCGACTCGTTGCTATCTCTCACGCTGTGCAGCAGACCCAACCTCCTCACTAGTGCCAGCTCCACGAGAGACGTGGTGCATCCCGTGTCCACTACCGATACATGCCTGCTCCAATCTGCACCACCATCCGACGAAACGTCCACTGCCACTCTTATTAAACCATTGCATGCACTGTGAGGCATGGCCAGGCACAAGCCAGTACGGTCCTCTGCCGAGGCCAATGCTGCAGCAGAACCAGACTTAGTCGACTCGTTGGTGGGGCAGTTCCGCTTGATGTGTCCAGGCTGCTTGCACTTGTAACACTTGATTGGTGGCGCACCAGCGCGACCCTGCCCGTGGCTGTCGCCAGTCCGATCACAGGAGCGCTGGCGGGGGCAGTTACGTTTCATATGGCCCACTTGGCCACAGGCGAAACACAGCGTGGGCAACGACCCTCCTGCAGCAGCCGCCGCTGCAGCCTGCACTACTGCACCACTCGCCTGCATGACCCGCGCCTTGGTCACCAGCTCCGGGAGAGAGTGCGATTTCGCTGCGCGCTCCAAGCGAAGGGTCCTGCTAAACTCTGCGGGAAGGCCACTCAAAAACTGCTCGATGAGCACGGGATCTTTGCCGTCCGCGGCGAGTGTATGCTTCGACAGCTTCAGTAACCGCTGCAGATCTGCAACGAAGATATCCACAGGATCGTCCAAAGCCAAGCACCTATCGACAAACAAGTGGTATGCTTCAGCTGCCGACGAAGCAAATGCCGCCTCCAACGCAGCTTTGACTTTCTTCGAGTCCTTCCTGTTGTCATCGGACATCTGATCCACCTCGACGAAGGCCACACCGTCCAACAAAGAAGACGAGCCATCTTGTCGTCATCAGAATCCCATTTCTCCGCAACACACAGTACCTCGAACTTCTTCCAGAACGATGCAAGGTTGTCCCCTCTGACGCCTTTGAAAGGCTTCAAAAAGCCACCAAGTTTCAACGACGTCCTGCAAGTTTTTCCTTGGCCTCGAACAAAACGAAACTCCACTCGTCCAAACGAGTATTCCTGGGTTTCGGCACCAAAGCTGTTCCCAAATGCCATAGACTTGCACGTCCACAACAAGCCACAGAGGATAGTTCAGTCCAATCATTTAGTAAATAAAAGGAATGAACATTAGACTGAAGAACAGAAGAATCAAAAGAACACTTCTTCCTCCCAGATTCTCCTAACCATGCACGAGTTGCCCTAAAATACCTCTGCTGTAGCCTAGGACATAATGGCGTACACGACGCGCCCAAACTGGCGCTGCATGTGAGACGCGCCAAAACTGGCGCTGTACGTGACAGCAAAGCCGTGCGCGGTACAACCTCACATGTAGTGAATACAAGGTGTGTGATGACCTATGCTGCGCACATGCACCAGTACTCATTTACTAACACGAGTTATGAAAAACTGTCCAGCAACGTAACCAGATCTTATACAGTCAGCGATTGCGACAGAATGGCACAAAACTGACAAGGAGTAATGTGCGTTTGTGGACAGTTTGTCATAACTCGTAACATTTTGTCCTTTTCCTTTCTTCATCATTACTATATTGGCTAACCATCCCGGTTCAATTATCATTATACATTGTTTAAACACGTGACTCTTCACGTTTATACATGTTAAACTTTTGTTCCATTTCTTACGTACCATTGCAAGTTGGCAGCTCCAAAGTTGTACAATCAAATGTTTCATTTCCCACCAATTTGTATCCAGTATTGCATGAGTAGTTGACAGTTAGAGGATATTGAATTTCTGATGTGTAAACCACACCGTTGGAAATTTCTGGAGCACTGCAGGCCGATGCTGTACACATATGTAACAATTCAAAAGCCGAGAAGCAGAGTAGCGTTGGTAACTTTTATCATCTAGATGCTTTAGAAATGATGCTGATTTGTGAGTTTTACGCTCAGCTGTTCTGTTAATAAAATTTATCGCTGGTACTCCTTGAAAAAGGAGATGATGATGGAAGAAGTTATAATTTCAAAGAATTTGGTTTGAAATGTAAGAAATACAAGTTACGTATCAACATCTACAAACCCAAATTTCATTACAGTTCTGTTTTTCACTTACCATTGCAAATCGGCAAAGATTTCATCTCGAATAGAGTTGTACAATCAAATGTTTCATTTCCAACTAAAATGTGTCCAGTATTGCATGAATAGGTGACACTTCGAGGGTATTGTATTTCTGACATGTCAACCGTACCATTGGCAATTTCTGGAGCAGTGCAGGTCATTCCTGTAATCATAAGGAGCAATTCGAAGAAGAGAAGAATAGACAGCGTGGGAGTGCAGGTCTACTTCAAAATACCGGTAATTAAAAAATTTAGAGAATATGACAGAGTTATTGATTTACCTGTTTTGCTTGCAGGTTAAGTTATGTTTTTGACGTGTTTTCCAAATTTTCACCTGTATTGTAAGCAAAAAGACTTCAAGGTCGAGGAATTTGAATGGAAATGCATTTGCTTTGACGAGTGAGAACAAACAAATTCTGTATCTGGCGCTTCGTGGGGTGTTTGTCGTGCTGGAAACGAAACGGCTCTGCAAGTTTGTATCCCTGGTGATGGTTTGGCCTGGAGAGCACTATAGAAGTGTTGCTTTTCAGGCAAAATCTTCTTCAGCCTACTCAAGCTCAACTGATGAGGGGTAAATTCCCCGGAACACTGTGTATTGAGCAGGGAGTGGTGCATTCTGGCAGGTTTGCCGTGTGGAAGGTATGACGTTCTCCTCATGTGTTCCGGATGGCAGTCGTGAGTCAAGTGTTATATTATTATTATTATTATTATTTTGTCAAGTAATATGTCTGATGATTGGTTCAGCCATGAAACTCGGAGTCACAACGGAATAAATTTGCCAAGGCTTTCATTGTGTGCCTTTGTGTGGCAAGTAATAATAATATAACACTTGACTCACGACTGCCATCGGTGACTTTTTCCTACGTTCCCGGTATATTTGGGTCCTTTTCGACCCCAGGAACATTTTGGGTGGTATTCTTGCAAACTGTCCATTTTTATGTATTTATTTTTGCTGTGTTACCTTCCCATAGACCAGCAAAGTAAACATGTTTCAAAAATCTTACCCCTGGGATTCGTTAGTAACCCACAACCCGGAATGAGGGTTTAATTAAAGGCTAAATCGAGGGAGATTCATGGCACGGCTTTCTAACTATGGCGATGGCTTGAGAATTTGCTACTTCGAAGTAGGTCAAAGTCATGAACGTACATGAACACGAACAGAGTATCAAAAGCATCTTCGCCTCACCATAACTTCACAAATAAGTATAGGTTCTAAAATTGTCATAGCACTGTATAAAATCTTCGCTTGGTTCGGTGTGTTTCTCACTTACCGCGGCAAATTGGCAAAGAATGCCACAGCAATAGAGTTGTACAATCAAATGTTGCATTTCCAACTAAATCGTAACCAGTATTACATGAGTAATTGACAGTTTGAGGGTATTGCATCTCTGACATATCAACCACACCGTTGGGAATTTCTGGAGCACTGCAGTTCATCCCTTTATATGGAGCAGGGAAGAAACAGAGGCGGCAGAAAACAGATGATCCAAATATATAAATTGAAGTGTATACTTCACTCCAACTATTGATCTAAACAAGGTGATGGGAAAATAATTTGGGGCAGAACATTCCATGTCTGCACAGCGCTGCAGAAAATGCGTGAAGACAGCTCTGGGACGTTGAATTAATAGCTGGTGTGGGTGCGTAGGCTGAGCAAACACGCGGGTGGGCTCTATGTCCTGAGGTCGATGTTGAGCACCAGGGGGGAGGATCTTCTTTAGCGAGCTGTCCGCATCCAGGCACAATAGCTTGCACAAGTGTGCAAGCGAAGCCACTTTTTTGTGTTTATTTGAATTCGGATAGCTCAACAGTACAGAAGTACAACTACAAAAAGTACCGAATAGAAGGCCAAGAGAACGGGAAACCAAAAAAAAAAAACAGCAACATCAATTTACTGATTATGCACATTGCTTGAAAGCAAATCACAACAGTGATTAAGAGTTAAGCTGTCTTTTAGCCAAATAGCTAATTTGACGCGGAAATCTGCGATAGTAGTGCAGGACTTCAGGTCGTCTGGCAAATAATTCCAAACAAGAGCCAAATTACTTGAAAAGGACAGAAAGCCAGACATAGATCTATAGCGATTGATACTCATGTTATGAGTTGTTGAGCTGCGAGTAGTTCGGGTAGACGTACAGATGGGAAAGAGGGACTGCAAGCAAACAGCCGGCTTAATACAGTAACAGTGGGAAATGAATACAAGGAACAAAAATACACTGTCCGCCGAAGAGAAACACTAGGGAGCCAGGAGCCCGATCCCATGATGTAGATGGCTAGTCGCTGGATCTGGTCCAGCTTGGCCAAGTGTGAGGGCAGCGCACCAAGCCAGACCAAGGGACAGAGCTCCAGCACAGGGCGGAAACACCCATTGTAAGCTCAGAGTCGGCCAAGGGGCTCTAGGATAGCAGAGGCGGGAGGCTACGAACTAAAGCTTGGTTCGTCGACAATGCTCTGCCTGAATTTTTAGCTGATCTATTTGCCTTTTGAGCAGACAAAATGTATTCGAAAAATCGCTCTTGGAAGCGACAATTTTAATGACACGGAGGAAGTAATTTTTCTCTTGAGTATATCACTTACCCCTGCAAGTTGGCAAAGAATGTTCCAATGGAGTTGTACAATCAAATGTAGCATTTCCTACTAAATTGTATCCAGTATTGCACGAGTAGTTGAGAGTGTGAGGGTATTGTATTCGTGTTGCATTAGCAAAACCGTTGGAAATGTTTGGAGCACTGCAATTAATACCTAAATATAAAAAATCGAGAACAGAATTGATCTTGTGGGCAATCAAAATTGTAATCAAAATCACAAGGAAATTGTGTCACCCTCAAATCTCGAACCAGGTACACTCACTTAAGGGCATCGATGCTCTAAGCACTGGGTTATAGTGCACTCGACATCCAAGCATGCATTGATCGTTCAACATTCGAGGTGAGGGAACCGGATATACCAACACACAATTATGTATGTATGCTTGGCATATACTGTGAATTGGTGACCGGTACTTTTCTGAATGGGGAGGGATGCAGATAAACGAGGACCAGATAAGCGAGCTCTGACGCTATTAGAAAATTCGGGTGATTTCTATCACTCTCTTCGATCAAGATTGCCTGAACAAAATTATGCGTAAATCTAAATCGAGAGAGTCTCCGTCAGGCTAAGTCGAGAGAGATTCATGGCTGTTACAAACCACCAGTTCTCCACAGAATTCACATACAAACTTGCAAGCGGGGATCCTCAAGTCTAAATAATTTTAACCCTGTTGCTATGCAAAAAACGTTACTTCACTAACGTCTGGCATTAGCCAGGATCCACGCAGCTTTAATTCCGTTTGTTTACTTTTGTTTGTTTTCACACACACACATACATGTCCTGTACCGTACCATCAAACGCATCATGTATGTCCCATGTAAGGGTTGGTTCATATATCGCCGGTACGCGCCGGGAGTCACGGGAGCTCTCCCCGCGCATTACGATTTGGTGAAACAGTGCAGTCGTAACAAAATTATACAGTAAAATTATAAACTATCGCAAGGGACCACCGGCAAAGTTGGACAGTGCCCAACTCTTGCGATCTCCCCCGGCACAGATGCCGTAGAAATGTCTCATTTCTTGTTGGGATGAGACTACGAAGTAAACAAGAAAATACAGTGTCGTGCAGCTCACGAATATGATATGTCATTTCAAAGCAATGAATTAGATGCTGAAACCTA